TGTTTTAATATCTCCTTTCCAGAACATTATGTAACTTTTAACAGGCCTGTATCCAAGAGTGCAGAAGAAAAAGTGCTTTCATTAACTCAGCCGACTTGCAAACTTCTAATACTAAACTTAGAGCAATATATGGTCCCCTAAAATACGTCATCGCAGACCTCGTGTTCTCCAGTCGTGATCTACACCTAGATCCCAGATCAGTCATCTATAAGGCAGAGTGACCTTTTATCTTGGATGTATTTGTATGGGTCTTAGCCAAAGTATCATCAAGGTTCGCTTTACAAAGTGAAATAGGAGCTCCCTCGGTTGCTTTTGAATGCTGCGAGGCTCGACGGATTGTTCATTTCGAAACAAGTGTTTCTCCTTATGTTGAGTATTGCGCTTGGCAAGAAAGCCACTTAAACCCTGCCAAAGCAAAAAATGCGTGCCAATGCCTGCTTAGAATACCATATATAGTTTCACCTGTTATCCTGCTCAATTCTTGGAGATAATCCACACAGTCAGCATGTTCTCGTGGTTTGTTAAGCTTTTCGAAGTATGTTGTGGCAGATACTGTTTCATGCAAGTAGAGTTAATCTAATTTCAAAGTAGTCTTTTTTATATTTTCAAAATCCTCTGAGTTTCTTGGTTTGTCCTGAGTGATGTCTACAAATTGGATAATATCATTTGACCTTATTTTATGGAGAACAGAACCATATTTTGTGCAGAAGGACTGGGCGGGCCCTAATGGAAAATAATGACATGAATTCACTGTTGCATCAAAATTAGTCTTCTACTCATGTTTTATGATTTGTTATTATCATGGGGGAAAGTACAACAGCAGAATGTGCATTCAATGTTTTCTTTAATCACTGAACACCTAAAGTTCAATCAATCAATGGCTATATATTGTTTTGTCTGCAACCAAGAAAACCTTTTTTTCTGGCAGTTTTCTCAAAAATGGCATGTTGGTTTGTAACATAGACGTGGAATGTGGGACACACTGACGAGAATATTCCGGCTTTGACCCATCTCGGAAAATTGAATGTCTCTTTGAAGATATGTGTACATTGAAAGACCTATAACACACAGGTCAAAGGTCGCACTAGAAAAACATCCGTATCAGGCTATCTTGTAATAGGCAATTATCAAAATGTGAATAATGTCAAAACACACGGTGCCTCCTCAAAGGATTTTTGCAACTTGTATTTCTGTATTCAGGCAACTCAACAAATTTCAGTTCCTCACACCGACGTTTGCACATTTTTACAAACAAGGCAAAATCTGGAAAAAAGGCCAAAGCTAATTGTCAATGGCGGTGCTTGCATGCATTTTGGTAGCAAACCTCACCTGCTTATGTTGCGATATTATCTCGTTGATCTTTGTGGTTTGGCCTTTCCAGTAGAAAACAAGTCGGCAACAAGCGAAAAAGTTATTTGACTATTCTGTGTCTATATCCTCTGCAGCAACGGGATATCAGATTGGCCACAATCAAGAACACCACTTACTACAACAAGTTAGAAGTCCAGATCTCATGTTTTTCTAAGAACTGAAAAGCTAAACAGCATGTGGTGTCATCAAAAAATGTAATGTCAGCAGCAACGTATTACTGCAGAAGTCTGACCTTTTTTGAAACCATAATGAAAGCCGGTTTGTAATTGAAGCTCAGAACAAACGTGAGTCCATTTATCTGCCATAGTGTGTAAGATTGAGAATTGTAGTTATAACTAGAAACTTGTAACACCAGGACTTATTGGCAGGTGGGTCCAAGATACACGCTGTATCCGCTCTAATGTATGGTTCTAATAGTTTACTTTTATTGTACTGCTTGTCAAATATCCTTGTACATTTCTCGTGACTTTACCTTTGTTCAGCACACTTTCATTGTCTATCATTATGCCACTTTTGATTCCTAGTAACTCAGGCATTATTGCGTCAGGAGATCACGGGATAGGAAATGTGAGATGAGCTCAGTATTTACCTGAGGATAATTCGTTCATGTGGGGTTCATTTTTTCCCTTTGACGGTCACGATAGGTGGAGCGACCTTCACTGACCTCTGATACGAGACAGGTGATACATTAAAGCAACGAGGACATTAATCTGTGACACGTTTGATGTATGGATACAAGAATGCACACACCCAGACACACACTGACCTCCGTAGTCTCCTTTCTTCTCTTACTTTCAACTTACTTTACTTCTGCAGGGACTGACATTGTACAGCATCCCCTTAATGAGATACCTGTCTGTACACTTTGCATGCAGGGAAGATCTAAAGAAGTTGGGAATATAACTCCTGCCATCATCTCAGGTCCTCGGTGAGATAACTGTGGTTAGTTTTCACGACAATGGCATCAACGCCATAAAAATCCCGATGCTGAGTTTGCCTTGGCCACATCTGGCCGATTGAAAAGAGATTTATAACGCAGCGGAGTTGGGTATCATCTCTCCTGTGCGGCACTGTTTATGTAGGACACGTTTAAATATTTGAGGAGCACATGTGCGGATGAATGGCGGCACAGGATTTCGTCATAAAGCTGCGAAGGGCAAACCGATGGGGGGTCGTTTTAAAAGTTGTGTCAACACTGTGGGATCCCCACCTCTGTCAACTCAGCAAACAGTGCATCGCACGGCCCTTCTCAAAGGCAGGGTGACGGCTGCTTTCTGGAAAGGCCCGGGGGCTTTCTCAGAACACCTTCGATTGTGCCAACAAGCTTTGGACATCGTCCGTCATTGAGTCCGAGCAGAGTTGCCAAAGTAACCGCGAGAAGAAAAATAACAGAGAGACGACGGATGCAACCAAAATGCTACCTGGACAATGCAATACATAACGGCCGTTGGCTCTGTACACAGAGATGGACAGCTGCTGCTCCATTCACTGAGGTAGTCCATCTTGCCATGTCTCTCCTGCGTCTACGGTCACATTATGTAGTATCAGCACATTAGATAATGTCATTTTAGACACAGGAACAACTGAAGCTCAATGTCTTCTTCAACATATTTTCCATGTGTCAGTCGACAGGGCAAGAAGAATTGGTTCTGCAGATGTGATGTCGGATGATGCTTCCCCACGGCTCCCGTCTCCTAGTCGCTTTTATTGTTCCTCTGGTTCCTATCACGCTTTACCGTCTGCTGAATCTACCAGGGTCCGCGCAGCTCGCGGCTTTTGGTTGCAACGGGTTTCCAGGCTGCTCCTCGTTTACCCCCCCGGGAAAAAAGCCCAATTTGGGGGGGGGGGGGGGGGGGGGGGCGGTCATCTGTCCACTACTTCTGCGTGGGTTTTCTGTACACCCATCCACCCGCCCGGCTCACTTTAAACAGAGGTGCAATTGAGCGAGAAAAAAGGAAGAATGGCTTTTATTGACTTTTGAATATCAATTCCGCTTAATTTTTTTGTTCATGGCCCCCTTTTTCACTTCTGTCACTCCCGGTAACTCACACCACACTCTTCCACCACTTCCTGTTTGTCTGTCTGTGGGCATGCATGTCTGCTGGGGGTTTCCGTGCAACTCTCCTTTTCCCGAAAAGCAGACACCTGCACTGCTCCACCCATCCCCTCTGACGTACATTAGATATTCCCTACTGGGAAAAGAAAAGAAAGAGGAACGCTGTGTCCATAGAAAAGGGTTTTAAAGGGAGGAATAAATACAGAAGGTCTGGGACGCCTTGAGGAGACGTTGGTTTTTGTTTATTTGAATTGCAGCGAAGAAACGGCTCGCAACTCTCTCTTAGTGGTCTGACCTGACGCCAGTAACCAACTCTAACGTGCACCCGGGGGGGGTCAAAGACGCTCTGAATGGGAGAACAAATAATCCACCAGTAGGAATGAGAATTACAGTACGACAAAAACTCCATTGCAGATTGCGACTCAACTCTATTGCCACATCATCAAGGATGCCAGCCGCGGTTTGGTTTTCTCACCGTACACATACTAACCTCCATCGCAGCACCATTCGATTGAAGCGTTTGTTTATGTACCTGGAAGCTGACTAACTCAATGGCAGACTTTAAGATTGTCTGGCGCCCCACTTTAGTGTTTTAGAAAACACTAAAGTGGGGCGCCAGCATGTAGGGCAGCCGTCGTGTTTTCTACATTTGGAGGCCACCTCAGAGGGCACTATGTCCAATTTGCTCCAGTTTGAGGGCACTCTGTGGGGCATTTGAAAATGCTTTCTCCATCTCAGGGCTCCCAGTCGGGCACTTAATCGCACTTTCGCCAATGGAAGTAGCACCCTAGAAGGCATATGATCACATTGTGTTTACTGTAAAAGCACCCTAAAAGGCACTTCATTATGTTTTCTCCACTTGAAGGCTTCCTATGGGGACTTAGTCATGTTTTGTTTCACAGCAGGGGACCCTAGATGGCACTGTATTGTGTTTTCCCCTCTGGGCGGGCATCGCAGGGGACAATTTAACGTTTTTTCTCCAACAAAAGCCACCCTAAAAGGCACTTTATTGTCTCCCCTGGAAGAGCATCGTCGCCGGATATTTGGCATGATTTCTCCGTATCATGCTTCCTTTTTTATGTTTAATGTGGCACTTGGTATCTAATTTATCTTTCCTCTGCACATTTCCATGTAGGGTCGGCACAAAGGTAAATTAATACGTTTGATTCTTCAGGTTCAATGAGGAAATCAACATCTTTATTGAAATTGTCTCAATGTCTGTGAATCCCCATAATAGCATTGGGCAAGTGAGTATTCATTTCAAATATTGGAATCATATATTTGTTATTTTATCATACCCGTCAGCAGCCCCTTTAAACGCTGTTAAGAGAAATTTATATATTTATTTGTAGGTGTTTGAGACTATTAAATGATAGTCATAAGCTTGTAGCCTCTTCTTATATCACATGACACCTAAATAACAGAACAAACCTGTGGCTGCAGCATCAGCCTAAAGACGCACACAGAAATACATTTCTCCAAATAAAGGTGCTCCATAAATTGCGTGCATATCCCCAACACAATGGACAAGAGCCGTAGCTTTCTAAAAGAATGTTAAAATACAAGTACTTCAAACACGGTATTCTCACATTTATTCACAGAGGTTAGTGTTGTTTTAGTAAACACTGTCCCCTGGTGGGGGACATGTTTACTCTTTAATACTCATCAGACAGACAAATGCAGTGTCAAGCGTACATTTAATGGCAGAAGAAAAATCGGTATTCTTTTCCAATTTGAAATGGCAATACTGTGTATTGTTAATGATACATATTCATCTTGATTGTATGAAACAAACTTTTGCGTTTTAAAATCAACCTAATATTCTTTATGTGGACTTTGTTAATATTCACCACACATCCCCTAATGCGTCACTAAATAGTATCTTATCATAACGTTTCTGTTTTAAAACCACCACTGATCCAGTCTTCAGCAAATGATCACGAGAGATGAATTTGATTACCTTGTGAAAAGGGATGACTTAGTCATATTTAGTTTTTGAGAAAACACACAATTACAATTCTAACGTATAAGTAATTTTAACATTTTTCCCTTAAAATGGCTTTTTGTAACATTACTTTGTAGCAAAGAAATGATGTAATTTTGTTTGCCATTTGCAGGGGTATTATTTTCCAGAGCTAACACACTGGTGTGAGCTTATGGTCCTGTGACAGCTTGGCTCACATGTGGCTTTAACACGTGTGAGGCATTTCTTTGACAGCTACACTACGCAGCCCTCTGGACACGGAAAGCAAAGGCCAGACTTTGTTGAAAGCTCCAGCGTGTGTTTGTGTTGTGTGAGGCCGAGTCCACGAGAGGAGGAGTTTAAATCAAAGCTGGGCAGATGTTGAATGTCAGTGTTGTTCTGACACGGCGTACAAAATCACTGAAGATGTGGATTTACATCCAGAAACATGGGAATGTGATTACGTCTCACAGACGTTTCCCTGTGAAAACCCCAGATAATACAATACCTTTTGGATATATGATAGTCTGCCAGATGACACTGAGTAATGCCTTAATGCCGTTCTCAATTTGATTAACAGGAAACGCAGCAGATTTACTTTCACGCTTGTTTTGAATAAGATGGTCCTTGTAGACTTTCATTTCGACAGTGTGTTAACTGCTTAGCTGACAGAAGGCTGGCTGCAGGCATCTGGTGTATTTTGGATTATGGATTATATTTAAATAGTAGATTACGAATAGAACATATCGGGCAAAAAGATGAGACTCCAAGTAGTGATTTAAGTTCTCACAGTGTGAGAAGTTGCTTTTACTGTTATGCTACAGTTGCAATGCTTAAAGTCAGATATAAGGACATGTTCATCACTTTTGTCAGAGAGGTGAAATACACTTTTTGCAGTGCACATTTTCTGCTGCTGTCCCACTGTCACTTGGGATTGATCAAATTCTACCTTATCTTATTTTACTGTATGGTTCCAAAATTGTCAGAAAACTCTCAAGTCATTTTCTATCTTTTGACATCTTACTTATTCATACTCGTTACAATAACATAGCTTGTAAATACCATTTTGTTGGTATCACTGAAACCAAAATAACACAACTAACCTTAGTTTTATTCACGCATTATGAACCATCAAATCCCTCAGTATTTATCTGCCTTTCAGTCCCAAAGCAGCTCAACCACTCCCTCAGATGGAAAAAGTCAGCCTCTTCTTCATGTAAAGGAAAGCGAGGTACGTGGCTCCGCCTAGAACGCCGATCAACAGGGTGGTGCCGAGAATAACCGGTGCGTTCTTCCTGGCCACGCGGAACGCCACGGGGAGCACGGCGGAGATCAGGATGTTGTTGACGTGGCCCAGCACTCTCCTGAAGGCCGGGCGCTCCACCACGCGCTCGTAGTATGTCTCCAGGTTGGCGCGGTTGCCGTCGCCCCAGAAGCGGCGGGAGAGGCCGAGGAACTTGAGGCGGTGCAAGGTGACCGCCAGAGAGACGTCGGCCATGCTGAAGAAGTCCCCACACAGCCAGGACTCACCGCCTTCTTCTACGAGCGGAGGACGGGGAGACAAAGGCGGATAACACAGTGTTCTAAATACGGTCATTAAATGTCATTGTGTCTTTTATTGTGTAATCACATGTACCTGGTGTTTCCTCCACCCTCCTCTGTAGCTCTGTCTCCACCTGGTCCATCACACTCTCCAATTCATCCAGAAGCTTCTTCAGGTACTTCATGTTGTCGTGGTCAAACAACTTGGACTGCGAAAAAACATTTTCACATAGAAATGTGCACATTTACGTTTTAAAGTGAGAGTTTAGGCAGGCCGCTGAACCGTCTTCATTTTAGTAGTTTGCCTAAAAATAATTCAACAAAACCAACGTAATTCCTCAAAAACCCACACTGTACTCTTTCAGCTACAGTACGTTAAAAATAGATTTTCTTTGTAAAATGTCAGTTAAATTAATATAATACATTGATATATCATTTCATAGGATTTGAATAAGACACGGCAAAAGCTGTCGGTTATCGCTGCTTTGATAATAGTTACCTTCAGGAAGGAATTAGTTTGTTTGTTTAGTTTCCAACAGGACACTAAGCTGCTGCCCAAAAAGCAGTCTACATGTGTATGGGCATTTTTTTGTGTTAGCCCTGCGATTGGTTGGGCTAATGCAAAGACATACAATCCATGGTGTACCCTGTCTATCGCCCAAAGTTGGCTGGGATAGACTCCGCCCCCCCCGCGACCCTGTGTGGTTTGCAGATGGATGGATGAATGGATGAAGTTGTCCTTTTCTTATAAAAATGCACCAATATAGTGTGTTACGTATGTAAGTGCTTGTATTTGAAACAAGCCTGCTCAACCCTTCTCCTACCCGGCTGATGGCGCCACTGTGTCGGTGTCCATTGCGAATTGCAAAAAACAATATCGATGCTGACTTGGTGCTGTGCTAACTTGAAAAACTTACTTTCAGGCGCCTCTGTTTTGCTACGTAAGCATCTTTTAGCTCTGGGTTCTGTTCTGCCAGTTTCTTCAGCTCAGACTGTGTGTTTCCGATCTGTGCTGTCAAACAAAGACACAGCAGCATGTTAGAGATAACCTTTTGAGAAAATGTGGCTAATATCAGATGTGTGTGTACTGTACATGTGGGTTTGATGTGGGTTTATTGTGTATAGATATTTTCTTTCAAGCAAGCAGACGTGTGTAAAAAGTGCTTAGCTAAATAGCGCATTTGGAATTTGATTAATTGAGCGGTATGAGTGTGCTCCAGAGAAATCTGCAACGTCTACATGATACCATCTTGGCCCGTAGTGAGACATCTTTAGAATTATTCTCAACATACAACAGGGGGTCTTATCCAAAGGGAATTTGGCAGATTACACCATTTTATTGTGTGTGCATTAATGCTGGCTGGACCACAGCTGTATACAACTCCTCAAAAGCATCAAAGTGGGTCTTACTTCGTATACAGGTGGCAGCATATGCTGGTATGTGGGAGTCCACTGTGATCTCTGGGTGAAGGATGCAGCCGTGGGTGTAGGCATCCATCTGTAGTGAGTCCAGCAGCTCTCTGTAGTGCTGCACTCTGTGGTAGTATGTGCTGCCCTCTTCAGGGATCAGCTTGGGTGTGCCCTCTGAAGAGAAGTCATCAATGGGAAGGATTAATGGGGCCGCATTGTTTTGGAGAAAACAGGTATTTTAACAATAGTTTAAATAGTTGCATGCTTACCAGGTTTTCTCCTCTTTTCAGGCGACTGGATGAGATTCTTACAAACAAAGTTATCATGGATCAGTGGAAACAAAGAAAAAGTGGAAAATTCGAAAAGAATGTGGAATGAAAGATTGAAAAATCAAGATGAAGTGTACAAAGAAAATAAGACTAAAATATTTGAAATCAAAGATTAAACTACAATACTAAATGGAAAAAAACAATGTATGAAAACCTGGTGAAAGGAGCCCACCTTGTACCTATCCAGCTTTACTGTCAATACATTAAAACAGTTAAGTCTTTATTTAGCCTCACCATCATTAAAACTCTGCTCCAGGTAGTCCATGATCTGAGTAGGGTCACAGATGATGTCTCCATGGTGGACCAGCACCGGCACCTCACCAGTAGGATTGAGATGCATGAACCAGGGCTCGTTGTGCTCACTGAGAGGGAGGCTCACATCGTACTCCTCACAGAGCAAACCTTTCTCTGCTATAGCCAGACGCACCTGCGAAACAAGTTTTGAAATGTACACGTGGTACTACATACGTATAATGATCAAATCCTTTCTATAAGTAAGCTAATATTCTTTGGAATACAGATTAGTTATGATTTTTCCAGTTGTGATGAAACAGAAGGCCACATCTGATCATATTTAGCATTAAAGCACAAGCTGTATGGTTCTTCTTTGAGGTTACGCATTGCATCCCAGATATTTATCCCCATCTTTGGCACGGAGCTGTCCACGGGACTGTGGTGCTGAAAACAGGAAGGCGCTCACCTTCTGAGAATTGAAAGACTGCGTCCAGTGATAAAGCGTAAGTTTGTATCCACTCCGATGTGGGATTGAGCTACATTCTTGTTCTTCTTCTGGGTCCGTCTCTATTAGAGCGGTTTGGTCATGCATGGATTGCGGGCTGTTTTCCGACGCCATCTTATCGGTCAGTGTGCGAGGGGACAAGTGATGGGAGCGCACCTTATTCTGGTCAAATTTTTTTTTTAAAGGAAATCTTCAAATGCGCCCTCTTGTGATTCGGCGTGGAACGGTAATCGACGTTTTCGTTTTTATACAATTTAAAACAAACTTGTGTTTACAGTTAACCAACACAATTTCTTTTCCAATCTTGTGATCCTTCTCGTTATCGTCGTACAGTAGCACATTATATCCATTGGCCCTTCAAATAAATTGCTCTTTATGAACGTGCTCTTTATGAACGTTCCACTGTCTCATATGCCTACACACATTATTAAGATGAATTTAAAAAAAAAATAGCCCTACAAATTTGCAATGGGAGAAATAAAGACACATGAATCCCCCTTTCACGCTGCACGATTCAACGCTTTAATCAATCGGACCATTTCAGCTGTGCAATAAATACCTTTGGACAGCAGGGGGAGCTGTTTTCTATTATCTGTTATCTTCAACGTCTGAACTAGTGTTGTTGTATTTTTTGGTCAGCCTAATAACAAAGTGGTTATATTAGATGCCACTCGTGTCAGCCAAATTAATACATATATTTCACATACATTTTAGAAGTGAAATACCACATTCATGGGCTAAATTATGCTACTGACTAATGTGCTCACTAAAATGTATTTTGCTGTGATCATTATTTTCTAAATTAAAAAGTACTTTTAAAGTTACATAAGCCTTTGCAATCATTACCAAAACACTTCTCCTATATACGCACTTAAGCTCTGATAGATCAATACATGCAGATATCAGTAATAATTGTGGAATGATTGAATTATTATGCGAAAATATAAAGCATAGTGTAAACAATAACGAGGCTATTATAAATGTTTTCTTAAATACATATATTTACATATATAAAAAAAAATATATATATATATATATATATATATATAAAGCTTGTATTTGAAAGCCTCGTTAAGGGTATCATAGATTTGTCATTATTGTGAGAGAGAGATAATGAGAGTGGGAGGTTCCCTGTGACGTGAGGCTGCGATTGGCCCGGTGTCGTTCCACAGCGGGGGACTCGACGGCTCTCTCTCCCTCTCTGATCAGTGGACGAGAGGGGGGGAGACGAGCGACACACAACGGAGAACCCGGCGTGCGCCTCCGGTAACGACGCCCACCATTCATACCTTCACACTCCCCGTTACGCATGCCTTCTGTGTTGCGCGTCGGTGTCTGGAAGTACCAGCCCGCTGTCCTCACCCTGATATTTTGCCTTCCTCTAGTCATCATCTCGTTGGCTCATCCTTTTCATCACACCGCCGGTCCTGGATCCCCCGAACCACGGTCCCGGAGACGCCTGAGTCTGCAGCAGCGGCCACGATCTCCTTTATTTTCAAGCCTACATCTGAATGACGGGCGGACGGTTTGATTTCGACGACGGCGGCACTTACTGCGGGGGGTGGGAGGATGGCAAAGCCCACGGACACGGCATCTGCACCGGACCCAAGGGCCAGGGCGAGTACGCCGGGTCCTGGTCGCACGGCTTTGAGATAGTCGGGGTGTACACGTGGCCCAGCGGGAACACCTACCGGGGCTACTGGTCCCAGGGTAAGCGGCACGGGCTCGGCGTGGAGAATAAAGGGAAGTGGATGTACCGCGGAGAGTGGAGTCACGGTTTCAAGGGTCGTTACGGTATCCGGCAAAGCCACAACACGCCCGCCAGATACGACGGCACCTGGAGCAACGGGCTGCAGGACGGATACGGGATCGAAACCTACGGCGATGGCGGTAAGGAACCCTGCCCTGTAAACACGGCCCGGTGTTTGTTTCACCTGTGCGTCGCTTTTTGGACCGCGCGTGGGGGGATGCTCCCGATCAGACTGACAGACAGCTGTTGGAAATACACCGGTGGATGAATCTCCCATCACATGTGGCCGTAGTTGAAGATGATATTGCGCACTGCGTAGTGTGGTCACTACAAATCAGTTCGCCCCCCCCCCCACCTTAAAAAATACATACCAAACTTCTGCTTCTTCTATCTGCTGGATAGTTCCTCTCCAACGCACATCCCATTTGGCAACTACCGGTTGCTCCTCACATGAGTTTGGGAGGAGAGTGACTCCTGTTGCCAGCTCTGTGGCCAGAAGCAGTTTATATATAAGAGCAAAGCAGTCTGTTCGGACCCCTTCATAGCCAGAGCGTTGCCTACTTCTGCCTATACTTTCACATTCAACATGTTCATCTTCAAATGAATATTCACTTGCATTCAGCCTCTTGGACTTTGACTGAAAGTGAGAGGTCAGTGCCAGTCAGAGGTTTGATGTCATTAATCAGGGGTGTGTTCACAGATTGTTTAGAGACCTCTGATCAGGGAGGAAACATCCGGACAGCCCCGCAAACACTAGTGCTTGCAAGTAACGCCAAAGGCCTGGAGGTGTTTACGGGACTTTAGAGGAACGGCTCCACTAACGGCGGCCTCGCGGTGCAGAATAAATGCCTCACGGTTGAATGTTACGCAGGGCTGGGCTTGGGAAATCAGCTGATCCTAGAGGATCTAGGGAACATCTGGCCGTCTGACCCTGCAACATCCTGATAACTTGATCTGCAGGGTCACCGGTTTGAACTGCAGTGCAGAGCCAGCCTGTTAATCTCACACTGTTTATCCGTCTAAATTCCTGCCCGGGCTAGTGTATCGTTTTCTGTTCGAATCGGACCATTATGGCCCATCTAATTGTATTGGTCAATGCGATTTCGAATGCCGGCCTAACAAGCCTTTCTTATTATTAGGAGCAGCGTTGTAATACGATGCTCCGAAGAAGCTACGGTAGGACATCACATGCTCATTTGGCTCAGCGGCAGAAAATGGGATTAATGAAGTATTCCTCTCGTTATGTGACTCATAGCAACTCCCTTTCGTCAGAGACAAACGGATGGCGGTGAATGTGCCTACCGTCAGTGGGGGAGTTATTGGCCGCCTGGAAATAAGCCCCTAGCTGAGTGATTCACATTCATCCCAAGTGATCCTCAGTATCAGTGCCTTAATCAAATCTCTGTGATTGAGTTAGTTATGCTCACAGTCCCAGATCTGCGTAAAAGGAGAGAAAACATTTCATTAGCCGACATACTCTGCACCCTGACGGCAAAGCTCCTCTGCGCTCCCACGTGTAACGCTGCTTCTTAGTACTGATTACGAAGAATGTCTCAAGTGCAAAATGAAGAGGTAACAGATAGACCTTCTCGCTGCTGTCCCACTAGCACCAACATAGATGAAAACCCCCTTTGACTATGATGGTAAATACTACCCTGGTAGGACTGCACGTTTATTTTTCAGACGTGCATTTCATAAAATACTCTTCTGTTATCATCCGTGTTGGTTTAACAGATCCGCTTCTGGGCTTAATTATCTAGAGGATCCCTTTACATCAGACATTTTCTAGGCTTGTACACGATTTCAATTGGTTTTGATAAAAGAGAGCCCTTTTTTTGGAAGTGGGCCGAGTAAAACACGAGCAAAAACACACACACACACACAAGCAGCATTGCCTCTTAAAATCTTATAATAAGATAATAAGAGAGTTTCCTCGAAAATAAGAGTTAATAATAAGAGTTAATAATAATTTTAAACAAACAAAACATAAATATTTACCTGGTAAATACAGGATTTAGAGACTGTAAAACCGAGAAATACATTTTCCATGTGTGGAAAACCATATTTTTGTTATTAATTTACTAACCTACTAAACAGATAATCTACATACTGGAGAAAAAATGCTATAAAACATACTTCTGCTGCAGAATATAACGTATTTTCTCCTCATCTTTTTCTATTTGTTGCTTGTTTCATGTGAAAAACTGGTCCTGGTCAGGCCTCTGAAAGTAATTAAGTGAATCAATTCGAGAAGAATAACTCATTAACATGCAGAGAATACTTGGCCAATGAGGTGAAACACGCTGGGACACACTATAAAGCAGTTGTAACTAATCCCATCCAGTGAATCTGACTGCTATCGGTTCTTTCAGGTACCTATCAGGGCCAGTGGATGGGTGGGATGCGACATGGCTACGGCGTGCGGCAGAGCGTTCCCTACGGCATGGCCACGGTCATCCGCTCCCCTCTCCGCACGTCTCTGGCCTCCCTGCGCTCCGAGCAGAGCAACGGCGCAGTGCTCCCGGACCTCTCCTCCCCCGCAGACACGCCGACGGGCAGTCGCGGCGGCTTCGTCCTCAACTTCCACTCGGACAGCGAGGTCGTCACCGGCAAGAAGAAGGGCCTGTTCCGCCGAGGCTCGCTTTTCGGCAGCCTCCGGCAGTTGCGCAAGTCTGACTCTCGGACCTCAATCTCCAGCAAGCGCAGCTCGGCGCGCAGCGACGCCGCCATGAGCCGCATCAGCTCCAGCGATGCCAACTCCACCATATCCATCGGCGACGGCGAGCTGCCGGATGAGGACCTGCCCCTGGAGGACCACGTGGATGCCACCACCACTGAGACCTACATGGGCGAATGGAAGAACGACAAGCGCAACGGATTTGGCGTTTCGGAGAGATCCAATGGGATGAAGTACGAGGGCGAGTGGCTTAACAACAAGCGCCACGGTTACGGCTGCACCGTTTTCCCAGACGGCACCAAAGAAGAAGGGAAGTACAAAAATAATGTGCTGGTGCGTGGAATAAGGAAGCAGTTGATTCCTCTTAAGAACCCCAAAACCAAAGAGAAGGTGGACCGGGCTGTGGAGGCGGCGCAGAGGGCTGCAGCCATCGCCAGAAGTAAAGTGGAAATAGCAGCTTCCAGGTACTGTGTTTATGTCTGCTTCCATTCGTGGGCCCCGTGCGTGCATGTGGGTGTCTGCTGTGTAAACACTAAAAAGACAGGGAGGACATCCTCGAGAGTTTATTGTCACCGCTGAAGAGCCACAGCAGCCTGGCCTGGCGAATGTCTCCCGGCCCGACGGAGGGCTCGGTCTCGTGTGAGTGGAGACCTATGACAACAGCTCCGACCTTTATACGCCGTCCTCAGTCAAGGCTTTTGTGTGGCCGGTGTTATCATTGTGTCACTATTCTCTGCCCATATCTTTTACTCCCACGGAGAGGGGTCGGGCATCTTGAGTGTTGGTCTGTGAATGTGGGAGAGAGAGAGATAGAGAGAGAGGGAAGTGTGGGCCCATGTGTGTGAGCAGTATAGCCATACAGTGTGTCTCGTGTGCTTAATGACGATACCTGCTCCCCCTGCCAAGTATTGCTCTGATGTGGCATCTGCTCTTTAACAGGTGGATGAGATGTGACCTTTTCATTTAAAGCCTCCCTCCTACTGGGACACAGTTCGACACACACACGGCATCAATTTGACATCCTCTGGTTTCACAGCATCAGGGAATCGTTAGACACAAGACTTTGAGGATGCGTGCAAGCTGTGAAAAGGTTTCCATGCAATAGCATATATTTAGATTTATTTTTTTGCTTCTTCTTACCAGAGGTGCACCTGAATTTGTATGCATGCTTCACATCATTTGTGGAACCTTTCCATGACTTTGACACAACAGCCAAAGTAGCTGTTTTGTGAGGTAAATGTTTACAATGTTCATGATTCATGATTCAGCTTGCAAACAGACTTACAAAAATGATATCCATGTTTAGCGTGGCTAAACAAGTTGTATTCCTATTACTTGGGGCACCAGTCAAAGATGCGCTAGTCTGTTCTTTGTGCTCTGATCATTTGTAATGCCCGTCATTATCTCTACAACTTTCAGACTTAAGGATTAACAATATCTATTTTAGCTGACAAATATACACGTACTCACTTTGATGCGGACAACGAATAACAGCAGTCCAGCTGATGGCTCAGTAATAGCAGCCTGTATGAATAGCAGGCTTTGTTATCATATCCAGCCATTCTTTTCAAATCAAATAAATCCTCTCCAGCGAGCAGGGAGACAAAAGGCTTTATTCTGCAGATTTCAAGGATATAAGATAAAGATTACATAAGGTAGATTTAACATGCTTAAAATAAAAAGGACTCCATACTATTTGTCCCGCAGATGACACCCATGATGCTACGAGTTTGTGTGTGTACCAGCAAAGGCCCGCGAGGATACGATAAAAGAAAACCGGATAATGTGTTGAAAGAAAGGACCATCTGATCTCCTATTTGCCTGTGCAACAATTTACTGCAGATGGAAACGCATGACCTGATGCATAGCGCTGAAGCACCAACGGGAAAAGCATTCAAGCTGATACAAAGTGTTTATGGAAGCAAAACAAGGCCCCCTGTACTGTACTAAGTCATCAAATTACTGGCCGGTACATGCCGCTCCGTCGTGTGCTGCTCTGAATCTCACAGCGGGCTCCTCCGTTCTCGCTACGGAAATATGTTCACGGCCGTGTGTTTGTGTAATGAACGGCTAGAACGGCTCACTGGAACAACTGCATGTAAGCAGGTTATGCAAGTCTCATTATGCAGTGCATGGCAAAAGATGCACTCGTATCGATCCAGCCCTCGTCACGTGACTCTCCGTCTTTTGAATGTGGGGCGTACCCAGAGGGAGGGGAGGGGAGGGGAGGGGAGAGAGACAGAGCTGGTAGAAGAGATGAAGAAAGCAGGAACGGATTGAAGTGAGACAGCCAGGGGATAAATGATGATTGGATGAGATGGGGCGGGCGGGTGGCGGCGACTGTGCTGAGCAAGAGGTTTTAAGGTCTGGAGTGGAGACAAATGAAACAAGCAGAATGAATAGAGTACACAGGGGCCACACCCACCACCACGCAGCACAGAGGAGCTATCCCATCAGCCTCTGGAGTGGAGCTCATGACCTCATGGTTGTGACAAGCCAATCGATAGAGAGCTAGTGCGCTTAGGTGGAGTGGAGCCGCTGTCTATGACCCCCATTTACTGTAGTCGGCCTTATCTATGTAATAGACCAGCGTTCAGCGTGTGTCAGTGTGTGCGTTTGCATGTGTGTGTTTCAGAGGCCTGCGAACTGAGATAAGTGCTATTGAAGAGTTCACCGTGTCACGGTGCTTCTCCCACAAAGCATTCTTTGTTACAGATCAGCAGTGTGTGTATCCTGGCGGCGTGTCAGTCTTATACGCTCTGCAATCCACTCTAATCGCCTTTGTTTCACCTTAACTCACCATGTTGTCTCATAAGAGCAGAGGTTCTTTAAATCAATTGTGCGTGGTTTTAAGATGACGGCTCAGAAGCGACCAAGCGCTTCTGCTTCTTTTTCTCAGGTCAAGTTGATAAAGCTCATTGCCTTCCCCAATGCTACAAATGAGAAAGGAAAAGCTAAAACTAACAAAGCGTAAGCCGGTGCGTTGCACTGTTTTGCTCCGCAGGCACTGGTGAAAGGTTAACCAACACCTAATACGCAGGTCCGCTGGAGTAGGAAAGATATTTATATGATGCTTATTTTTCCTTCACTCTAATCAGCAAAAAGTTGAGACTAATCATATCTGGAAGTGTTCTGTGCTGACCAAGTGAGGCTGTATTTGGCTTTGTTTTGCTCGTCCGTCAGCAACGCATGCAAATAGATTTTGTTGGTTAAGAAATGGGGTGAATGTCGGTCACGATGCAAAACAAATATAACCTTTGCACACCTGAGTGTGTGTTGATAATTATGACGCGTACCGAGACTTGATTTTAAACTTCTAATAAATTATTTACCGAATGCTGTGTTAATCAGTAGTGAAACATTGCACTCTGGCGTCCTTTCTCTTTCTCTTTCTCTCTCTATATCTCTCACGCAACACCTGCTTAGACACGCTCGCGCACACACACACAGACACACACACGCATCTGTATGCATTCATTTTATCAGAACTCGCCTCGCTCTCCGCACAGGAACAAATCACACACGCACAAGACAAACACATATAGTAAAGTGCATGCGGTGTGTGCCACCCTGCCGGCGTGTCAGCAGTGAGTACTGACTAAATAAGGCCAGGCATCAGTTGGCTTATCAGCACCAGCCAGGAATATATACCCGTCCCGCCACTGATATAGCATCCCGCCATCTCACTCACACTATCATCTCTCCCGTGCGTGTCTTTGTGTGTGTGTGTGTGTGTGTGTGTGTGTGTGTGGTCACATAAATGGCAGAAGAGAAGAGAACGGTAGATACTGTGTGTTTGGATGAGATAAGGATGCTATAATTTGGCAAGAGAAGAGACGAAGTGTGCGCGGCGTGTTTGTATCAAGGGGTGTTTGTTTATCACCTGCTGTGTGATGACCTCAGCCACTCACCACCTGCCCTTTTTGGCGAGAGTTATGGATCAGTTGGTGTTTCAAAATGTGAACAAAATACTAAAACTACTACTTAAAAAATAATAAAAACTCACAGTACTTGTAATGTAATTTTCCATCTTGGCTGGGTCTCGACAGGGACGAATTCTACTCCTCCAAATGACGGCTTTTTAGTTAATTTCTGTCATTGGTGCAGCCATACACCTTTCAAAAAGCCCTGTTTTGAACTTATACAGAATGTACAGTACCAGGCATGGCAGTCCTCTGAATCACAGTGATAAGCAAGCTCCATCACACGGTATATTTATCCGCAGACAGATCTCAAATGTATGGCAAAGTGATGATGTGAGGTAACATAACATTTATTGCTGACAGAATCAAGTTACGCACACACTGGACACACACACACGCACACACACACAAGAAATAGCCGGCCACGTGTGCATCATATTATCTATATCAGTGACATTATTGACACTGCCAGCTTGTACATACGAAAGAGTTATTAATAATGTAGCTGGTGCATGCACGGGAAGTTCGTTGAGCAGTTTGGAAATGACCCACATCTTGTTCTGTGCTCCACTATTTTCTCGCTACGGTAAATCAAAGGTGGCAGAAAGATGAGAGTTGATGCAACCCCGGGGGAGGAGTGTCAGAGGAAGTGATATAAAGAAAGGCCGATGTTACGCTAAGTCACTGTATTAGGGCTTGGTCAAATAGAGATATAGATTTAATGATCTACAACCACAACAGAAAGAATCACTTATATTAGAAGCAATAAATGGTGTCTTACATACAGTAGATTACATTCTTCATATGCATAGGCAGAATTGCTTCTTTTATTTTTGTAATAACAATAATTGATCCCTCCATTACTCTAATTTAGACTGAAATATATGGAATTACCTAATAACGTTTGGGAAATTTGCCATGAAGTGGAAGATTTCCATATTTACTTTACCGTTCAGTGCTACGTATACGGCTTCCCAGAGCCGCCAGTATGGCTTGTCTATTTTTTTCATCATTAATTATTGCACTTCCCTGCTGTAATATTTTACAGTTCAATACACAAAATCCATTTAAAGGGAGGTAATGTTAAAAATCAACACGGCAGTGGGGGAGAGCCATGTAAGTGGCTCATGCCGGTCCACTAAAGGTGTCACCCCGTTATGACGCCACGCTACAGCCCTGTGAACAGGAATGATTTTCAGCGTGAGGGTCTCTGACTCGCTGTCTGGAATGGATGTGTTGTCTGACTTTCTGACTGACACTGAAGCTTTGTTGCCGGAGCACGGCGGCCTGTGCCGATGGCAACGGCGTCACCGCCGGCGGGATTGGGATTGGGTTTCGCCAAAATGCACTTGCACTTTGTGTCTGCGACTCGTTGTATCCTTGAGAAGTGCACGAATTTTTGCAGCTTCTCGAGAAGGAGCAGGATGAGCCAGGCAGGCCGGCGGGAGGAGGGAGTCATGTGGAGTCTGAAGCTGTTACCGAGAGGTTTACTTCTGTAGTGGTTCACCTGCAATTATTAACAGTGTAAAATACTCCTCAAT